GTGTGTGCTGTTGGAAGAGCCAAATAAATAGCTTCATCCCGGCAGTGCGTGGCACGCCCGTAAAGGCATGCTAACTGCAAAAAGGAAATGCAGATTAACCATTGTCATATACGTATGTATGCAAGTAGTTGATTTGTGTACGTGCAAGCAGCCAGGTTGAGTGCGTTCGTCAATGTAACCCAGGCTTTGTGGTTTTGTTTGCCGGATTCCCCATCGAAGCAGGATCAAAGACAGACTTCATATCGGATGACGTGGGTGACGTGTGTAAGCTGCGATGAAAAAGCAGGTAGCAGTGACTTTCATTAGTGGAGAGTCACATCCGCCAGGAAAGTGGACAGTAGGAGAATATCACAGTTCAGCATCACGGGCGAACTGTCGTATGCACATGATCTGATGTCAAATGGGTATTGTCTTTTTGGGATCGAGCGACGGCATTATCTGCTTCATACGGTAAACCGTAAGTTTCATAACTAAGTGGTGCAACAAAACTCAAGGGAAGGAATTTCATTTTTGTTAAGAGCAGTGTATCCTGAGGTCCACCAAGCCAATGTTCATAAGCCGTATTTTTGTCTTTAACTAATAACGTAGCTCCATAGTTCACAAAGAAATGCGAAATATTGTCTGTTATTTCCATTTCAATTGCCTGAAAGTTATGTCAGTCATTTAATCGGAAAATTAATGGCTGTAGGTTTGTAGAGGAAAGTACGAGCTTTGTGATGACTATATCTATCTTTTCGAACCTTAAAAATACGAAGAAGTAAATAAACATAAAATTTTGATTATTTAATAAGTTAATAATTAATAATTAATTCACTTCATATGTCATCATGTTTGTGTAGCAGCGAAGCATCTGTTCAAATGGCTGATTACTACTGTTGTTGATGAGGTTGATTTTGATACCATATTTAAACATTGCGCAATTTGCAGTGTCTTTTATACCGCTGCGGGGACCTGAGGACGTGCACAAACGAGAAACCAAGTGGTCCACCTGTATGACTTTCAGTTTTGCTTCACTTAGCTAATAGGCTTAGTGCACGGTATCGGTACGACGAGTTCTAAAAGCACAGGCTATTGGGACATTATTTGATATACTGTGCTATGAATCCAGTGTGTTGCTGTCTTTCTTCTTGGTTACAGGTTGATCCCACAAGCTTTGTCCTGGGTAAACGATGAATATAAGGAAGATTTTCTTACAGTTTCCAAGCTTACTGAAACGGAAAAACCGATTTCATTTCTTGCCGTGCCGTTCAAATCAGTGATGGATGTGCGAAGCTGTCTGCGCCGGATGCAACAACCAGCCCTCCTGAACCACGTATTTGACTTGGTCATCTCTTATCAACAAACCTACCGTTTTTAGGCTCTGCTTTGTCTCTGGTGGAAAAGGCTGCACTCGGAACATTTTTGTCTGTTGAAACGGTGCAAACCCCGGAATGTAGATCGACCGGCGTCTGGCATTTTTTAAAAATGCATACACTCCATTGCACACTTCATAATGACGGCTGAACTCAACTAGCGATACTGATCCATTTCCTTGCAAATAGACTGGGAAGGCGATACCGCGTTTCTACAAGGAGGGTCAAAAACCTTCCTTTTGCGAAAAATGGTAGCACATTATTTGTAGTAACCCATATGCTAAGTGGCTTTTGTAGCTACGGTTTGCAGCTAAAATGTTGCGGAACATATTCTCAACTTCAAATGATGTCCCCCTCGCCAAAAGCCGTGTTGACGAACTGATTATGCAAGGTGTGCAGGACAAATATCGCCTACCATTTCTGTCCTTTATCGCACAGTTCTCAGTAAGCAGTGTGCATGTATAACACCTCCAATCAAATTTTTCACTTCGCGCTACGGTTATGCATGTTGTAAGAAGTCCAGCGATGCATCCGAAGATTGGAAGCGCGATGGTGGTACGCAAGGGAGAACAAAAAATGTATCATCCATATATATATATATATATATATATATATATATATAACAGCGTTTAGGTTGAAAAGTGCGTTTTCCACGCACGTGAGTACATATATCTCCAAGACTATCGGCATTTAGCAAGGGAAAGGGGGACGCCAGTGTTCTAAGGCAGGGGAAATTTTGGAAAAATATAAGAGTGAAGGCTGCGAGTCCGATTCTTTTCCTGAGTACTCAATACTTTGTTGATAATTGTATACAGCACATAGCCTTGCGTATCGGCATTCAGCACGGGAAAATGTTGGTAGTGCGCTAACGTGGGGCGAAATCGCGAAAAGTGTCAGAGCAAGTGAAGTTAAGCTGCCGTATTTTATCTGAGTGCCCCGCCGCGCGGCTCAGTTTCGGTCATCTATCTGTCACCCACCAGACACATTTCGGTCACCTATCGGTCACTAGTGCTAACTGGGATGCGGACGTGCTTTGGGTGCAAGTAGGAGCGATAGTCACATGTACCGTCTAAGTGGTAGTGCAACGGATGCACTTGCTGTGGTTTAACCAAACTCCGGCGAAAAGCAAAGCAACCCCACCCCATCTGACGTAATTAATCTATAGTACCATATTGTTTAAGATAATTCACCTAGTCAAAAACGCATCATCAATCATTACAAACAGCCCTTGTGCTTCCTTTAGCCAAACCTTTGATCGTGTTAACGGGGTTTCTTCTAACTTGCGAACTTTAGGCTGCACGCAGTAGACAACGAACGGCGGACATTCAAACTTAAAAAGGTTTCCAGGGATTGCCGCTAAACCGCAAAGTATATGAGCTTAGGTACCATCGCTTGTATTTGCTGATGACTTGAATGTGTGGAAAAGTGTCGATGTTCCTGTGGATTCCGAAGCTACTCAACGAGCCTTGTATAAGCTTTGGGACTGGTCTATTTATGGTTATTACCAAAAAGCGGGCAACGCTCCAAGTTCCTCGAATTGGATGGGCTTGTCCCCCTGCGAAGTATTTGGTCGGTGGGATCGAACTCCCTGGCTATTTAGCCAGGTTGATCTAGGTGTCGGACACCCTTTGAATGTACACTTAGCGTCAAATGGAAGAAGACCGCCAGCAGAGGTTTCCGCATGTAGTGTTTACTACGACGTACGTTCGGAGTCGTAACAGGTAGCATGTGTACGAGACTATTCTCGGCTTTCGTTTGGCTTCGTCTGGAATACTGTATCCAGTCTTGTCCGCCCTGTGGGTATTAGGTTAGTTGAGAGATTAGGTGACCGACCTACCACGAGCGTCTACATAGTTTTTGAATGTTTTCAATGCACTACCGAAGGATAAGAGGAGAACTTATTCTAAACTACCGTATCTAGCCTAGGAACGTTGGTGCAGATTTATCTTAGCTATTCAGCCCCGCTAGATTGTGTGTTCTACGAGGTCATTCCTTGATGCCGGACGAACCGCCGTCCGATCGGATAAGGGCCGTAAGCCGGCTGTCACGCCGAGTCACCGAGCGCTGGATAATGCTTACGGAAAGTGTTACCAAGGAATTTAAGGTTAAGGGGGTTTGCAAGGCAACTTGACGCGCTTGGGAGGCAACAAGAAACATGACCCTTTTCCTTAGTAACTCTCATTTTCATACCTTGATTTCCCTTCCTCTACTTTCTGCATGCATTGGTAGTATTATTTGCTTTAAGTGCACTTCCTCATTCTGTGCCTTTGGTTTTTCTTATCCTTTTCTTACTTCACCCGTCTGTCCCAGCAGGGACAGATGGGGCAGGAACCGGAGGGCATTAGCCGGTTGGCCAAGGTGTGATACCGGTGTTCCGTTTTAGATCCATCAATAACTGAGCACTATAAATTCCTGGCTCAACCATCCACTCAATATGGAAGACACGGGATTCTCGTATCGCTGCAGTCCAACCCGTTGTTATTTTCCTTGTATGTCAACGAGCTGCCCGAACTGCTGGAGGTACCATCTCTCATGTTTGCAGATGACCTAAAGTTTTGGCACATAGTGTTTAACTTCGATTGACCCCAAGGACTCCTGCAATCGGGCCCTCGGATTACACTTTGGGACTGGGACCTGCTCTGTGGCCAGTTAGCCCCTAAATATGCAAAGTGTTCCCATCTACGAGGATAGGCCAATATATCCCCCAAACGCGTTCGTTTCTTGGCGTAATGAATCTCCACCATCGTTACCCCATTGGTAGACCTAGGGGTCACATTGTCTTCAGACTTAAATCCAGTGAGAACCTGGAGGAATGCTACGTGCAAGGGTTTCAGAATGTTTGTGGATGATCCGCAGGGCATTCGACCATCTCCGGGCGCTATGTTTGTTATGGTTATTCTCAGCGTTGTCAGGCCACACTTGGAATACTGCATCCTGGCTTGTCCACCTTGCTTAGTCGAGGTGACAGGAGGTCAGTGGAGAGAGTGTTGAGGAGTGGAACAAACTAGGTACCATGGACTGCGGAAACCATCTTACCCAGAAAGACTACTTGCGCTGGGAATGTTCTCGATGCACTATCGTCAACATCGAGGCGACCTAGTCTTGACATATCGTATACTTACCGGTAAAATCGGACCCGATTTATCCGGGCTTTTCCAACCGGCTCGGCTTCCATCGCTCCGAGGTCACTCGCTGAAGCAACACAAAGCCCGATCGGATGGAGTCCGGGCAGACTTTCGTTTATCACGCCGAGTGATGGATTCCTTGAATGCACTGCCCGAGAACTTGGTATTGGCACCAACAGTGAAAGAGTTCGAACACCGACTCGACGCTCGTGGCCGTCAATTCTTAACATTCCCCTTCACGTCCTAGCTTTTTTCGTTTTATTGAATTATTAAATCTATTTTTTTCTTGACGCTCTTATTACTTTCGTACTTCTCTTTCTTATTTCACGTGACCGGTGCGGCGGGGACCTGCCAGTGCAGGTCGCGTGGGTATTAATTGGTTGACCGTGGTGTGATTCGCGCGCGCTGATCTGACTCTTCTGGATTCCAGTTATCGCGGACGAATAATACCCTGGATCAACGACGCGTCACGGAAGGAACATTCACGGGGATTTATCCTACTGTTCCGGTCCCACTTGAACTTGAACTTGATCATAGCTGCGGATAGCGCATCGCGCATTTTTTGTTAAGAGGTTTCTATTTAGAAAGTGAGTGATAATGACGTCTAGGTGTCTAGACTGCGGCAGAGCTGTCACCTCTCGATAGGACATGCAATGCTTTGTGTATAGGATGACAGCTTATATCATGCGGCTAGCGACCTACGCGTTCTGTACTTGTGAGGCAGGTACCCAACGACGTTCATTTGCAGATATTTGTCATCTGTTTGATTATGCCGATCATTTCGGTCTCGCCCAATACCCTCATGCGGCCACTGAACACCTGCTTGAATTGCACTCAACATGTAGGGCCTCGTTCCAAAGCCATCACATGCTCCATCTGTCTGCACCATGTTCACGGTCCCTGTGACAATTCGCTCCATGCAACTGACATCGAATTCTGTCGCTCGCATCCACAGACGGTCCTGCGGTACATTTACCTGCTTTGCGTTCCCAGCATTTCGAATTACGGGCGCGATATTCCTAACGATCTTTCCCTCACGACTGGCCCTATACTTGGTTCTGTAATCTCGTGTACTACTAACCCGCCCCCACACCGCGTAACAAGCAGTCGCAGACTCAGGCGCTGCAGTCACCATGATACGTCGAGCCGCCTAGCAAAAATACACGCTCAGAAGTGCGCTTGCTTAATATGGAAGAATAGCTACACAGCCTACTGCGGAAAGTCGATGGTCTAGCCAAACAACGACAGCAACCTCCCAACCGTCCTCAATCACGGATCGTCTCACCGTTACCAACTTCTGATCTGTCTAACACTCGCCGACGCCCAACGCTTCCGTCGGAGGCCCTGTCACTAAGTAAGCTTGCTACCACCCAACATCCGCGTTCGTCTAAGCGAATAACGAGTAGCCCTCCTCCTAATTCTCTCATATGTACAAACGTGTCAGAGTCTAACGACCCGCAACTTCAGAATCGACATTCTCATGATTTCACTATGTGAAGCTGTATCTGTATCGCGTTAAAACTCTGAAACAAAACTCATTAGTTTCGCCACGCTTATAATAATAATAATAGGTATATTTCTCAGAAAGGTGAGACGCTTTCCAGAGACCCTGGACCGATCATTATGTACAAGTTTTCTCTGAAACTGAAATTGTTTATCGGATGCGAGGAGATTCGTATTGAGTGCGATTGGATTCAAGTTGTAATTTATTCCTATGCAGATCCAACTTTCTTCGGTAGCAAGTATCTCATCGTACCGTAGAACGAGTTGTGGTCCGGATCAACGTAAATAGGAGGGAAATAGCAAGTATTAGTAAGTATTAGTGCGATGGAGGCCGAAAAACTTCCTAGGGAATTATGTACATGTGTGGAATCGAGAATAATATAGTGTGGGGAGGGTCTCGCAACCAAATTTCTGGACTCAGCATAAGGAACAGCAGTATGGGTCTGGCTAACAGGGAAAAATAAGTCCACATTACTGCACAGTGAAAAAGGGAAATATTTAAGCAACTACCTTATTATTGTATTGCAAATGTTGTTTACAATTAGGAGGCGTAATACGGATTTCGGATTACTTAAAATGTGTGGGTTGTGGGCTGTGAACAAGAATGCCGAACCTTTAGTAGTTTGGCTAACTGCGCTAGGAGTTTGATTATGCAGGGAATTGGTCCAATAGAACGCCAGTGATATGTTTACTAGGTTACAGTAGTCCTGAGTGGCAAACATATCGATGTTGACAATGTGTCGGTTGATTCACCAGCAAGATATGGTCAAGTGAAAACCGAAGCTAAGTGTTGGGCAGCAAGGTGGGTTGAAGATGTAAAGAAAGGATCCGGGTGCTTTACCTACCAAAGCGTCAGTGCTTTCACAAACGAATGGTAGGTGTGCCAGCGGGTGAAACGGAAGTGAAGTTACGATTGGAGAGAGTTAACCGGATTTAGGAGTCCAGCTAACCAAGTTGCCAGTGATTCAACTGACACATGGTTGCAGTGGAGCCAAGTAAAATCAAAGGGAAGTATAGTGAACCAAGATGGGATGAAGAGGATAACAGAAGCCTGGACCTCCAACCCATCGATGTATCAGTGGAGCCACTAATCAGCGGTGAGCTTTCGGGCAGGCGGATCCGGAGTGGGCAATAAAAGGGAAGGGTAAGCAGGGAATCAACGGGTGTTTGTTGATCTGACTGATACAGTCATTTGCAATTTTCACTTATATGTTGTCTGGACCTTGTTCATACGTTTGTTGAATAGTTGTAGGGCAGCGCAGGAGCATAATCACATTGCTGACTGTAAGATATACGTCAAGCTTTCTACGGAAGTTATACTCAGATGTGCTAGTACAAATATCGGTCGACAGTTTGTTCCAAATACGGGAGTGCCGATTTAGGAAAAAGTTTGCTGATATGTTTGTCTTTGACCTTCTTACCATCACAGAATTTTCTCTATTGCGTGTATTGTATCCATTTGGTTTCATGAGTGATAGATCAATGCTAGGGGTGTGGACATTTTTGTGCAGGATATTGAAAAAAGGTGCTAAGTTTACTTTTAGGCGTCGAAGCCATATTGGGTCAAGCTTAAGTAAGTCGCATCGCTCAGAATAGGGTAACACTAAGCTCGTACCAATAAGGCGCTTTGTAAACGCTCTTTGTACCTTTTCTATGGCGATACGATCATGCTTCCTGGAATTGCTATACACCATTGAGCAATATTCAAGTAAAGGGCGGGCGAATGATTCATACATTGAACAAATTGAATCTCGTAGAGTAAGATTTTTTGAATAGTAATGCAATGCGTTGTTTAGCTCTGGCTGTTGCATAAAATGCTTGTTCTGAGAAGTTAAGGGAATATGAGTAGCGAAGCCCTAGGTCACAGATGGTCTGACAGATAGTAAGTGGTTTGCTATCTAGGGTCAGAGCATTGTGCTTAACATTGCACCTGTATAACATCGCGCTACATTTGTCAGTGCTGAAAGACATTTTCCATGTGTTGCACCAAGCCTCAAGCGCGTGGAGGTCGTTGGATTTCCATTAGAGTATTTCTGAGGTTGGTAGGATGGAAGGAGTACACTATTTTGATGTCATCGGCGAAAAGATAAGGTATGCCGCATTTAACTACGCTGAAGACGTCGTTAACATAAAGTAGAAATAGCAATGGACCAAGAACACTGCCTTGTACCACCCCACTGGTAACAGCCTTGGGTTGAGATTTATGTTGTTGGATTTGTACTATCTGGGAGCGATCTGAGAGATATGAGCTAAACCAAGGCAGTAAGGGGTCCTTTATACCGTAGATTTGGAGCTTAGCTAGTAGGCGACTATGAGGTACGCGATCGAAAGCTTTTTGCGTGTCGAGGTAGATGACGATCGCCGATAAGCCACGATCGTGTGAACTGACAAGGTGATTTAAAAATTCTAAGTAACAAGTGATGCAGGACCTGGAGTTCAGGAATCCATGCTGTGAATTGTTTACTAAGTTTCGAGTTAATAGGAATTCAAGCGTTTTCGACTTTACATGTCGCTCCATCATTTTAGACAGTACTGATGTGTGACTAATCGGTCGGTAGTTTTTTACGTCGTACAGTTAACCTGATTTATGACGGGGCATCACTATGGCCTCCTTCCACTGAGCCGGTATGATACCTGAATTCATAGATAAGGTGAACATATTCAGTAGCAGCAAGGGGATGTCATCTCCCCCCAATTTTATGACAGCAGATGGGAGATTGTCCGGACTAGTGAAATAGGAGGTTTTAGTGAACTTTATGAGCTTTTGGATATCGCACATCTCCGAGCGCTTGTAAGCCAAGACTTCTGCGTGTTGACTTGCAGCCAGGCCCGTCTATAGAGAATGTCCTGTTGTCAGCGCACTTACTTCGAAACAACGTGTCTTTCGGCATATACCATATTCCTATCTTCCCCGACATCCCTTGGACTAAGCGCGCTGCGCGCAGACAACAACTGACGCCACCCACTCAACCATGCTCCATCATAGTGCATGACGTTCCAGAACTGCCTGCCCTTGACACAACCTTACAACAACGACAACAGCATCACCGTAATCAATAGCCGTTCCTTCAGCAGACATTAAATATTGTCAACGTTATCACAACGGACATACACCGCCTACCTCGTCCAGTAAGTTGTACAGAAACAGCTCCCATCTTCTAAAAGTGTCATTCCTCACCGCTATCATGACAGCCGATGCCCTCCCCTTCAGGTATGCTAATAAAAGTCGAGCACCACCAGATATTCGTCTTCGTCCTGATGGGCACCCGGTGCCGAGGCGCACAGCTTCCCACAGACCCCTAGCAGCAGCAGCCCCCTCGGTACCGACACACTGACCAAACCGTCCTCAGACGGTTCATCACCGAACCAACTGCCTGACTGCCTGGAGTAATCCACTCACATACACCTTCCAACCTTCAGTCTTTCAACGAACCAAACGCCAGCACCCATCTGTGCTCCGACGACCCACACCTTGCTTCCCCAACTACCAACCTCAACTGCTCCACTCCTCTAAACCAAAAACAGTGCACTGCCGGTCATCTGTTAACCGGCAGCACCCTAGTTACTCCCGCGCTCATCACTCAAACGGGCCTTACCTGTATCTACACGAACGCACAGGGCCTCATGCCTAAACATCCGGAACTTCAATTCCGGAAACGTGGCTCTCCGATGACATAAACGACGTTGAAATGCAATTTCCTCACGTCATTTCTCCACTCTGACCGCGCAACCCCAGCTGGCGGTGTCGCACAGTGCTAAGACATCTCACAGTTGCAGGGTCATAAAAATACTGCCCTCCAGTCTCCAGCCACCATGTAGTACGAGGTCGTACTAGCCGCCAAACACTTCAGCTGTCCTGCTATCATTTACCGCCTCCCTAACAACTCCCCCGAGAAGGGCGCACGACGTCCACCTTATGTTATCCCACAAGCGCACTCCCTTTTTTATCATGAGATTTCAACCTGCCTGTCTATTTCACCCTGTCCCGTCCACTGACTCCTCTGCACCAGGCCTTATTGATCTTCACACGAGCCCGTTGTACCACCACACTTATCAGCCGACCAGGCTCCGATCCAACAACCAA